TACCCAGGGTGACAGCTTGAGACTCTGTCTCAAAGCAAAAAAATGCTATCTCAGCAGAATTACCATTCTTTTCTTTTTGAGACAGGGTTGCACTTTGTCATTCTTGGTAGAGTGCTGTGGCGTTGTATCTCACAGCAACCTCAAACTCTTGGACTCAACTTATTCTCTTGCCTCAACCTCCTGAGTAGCTGGGACTACAGGTGCCCACTATAGTGCCTGGCTTTTTTTAGAGATGGGGTCTCTCTCTGGCTCCAGCCTGGTCTTGAACTCCTGAGGTCAAGCAATCCACCCACCTCGGCCTCCCAGAGTGCTAGGATTGTATATGTGAGCCACCACGTATAAGTAAGGAATTTGTTTATTTCAGAATATATTTTTTTCTTTCTTTAAACACCCTCTAAAGGAAATAGAATATTTCTTTCTTTCTTTCTTTTTTTTTTTAGAAACAGTCTTACTTTATCACCCTCAGTCGAGTGCCGTATACACCAGCCCATTCTTTTCTTTTTAAAAATTAATATATAAAACAGGAATCAAGATAATATAACAAAAACTCACGTACATACTGTTCATTTAAACAAATCTGAACATTTGCTGTTTGTACTTCATCTTGCTTTCCTTTTATTCTTCCCCTTTTCTGTTTAAGAAAGTATCTATTGATCCTGCTAAAACCTGTCTGCCTTTCTGATGTCATTAGAATTATTTATTTTTATTTTGTTGTATTTTTATTTATTTACTTATTCAGTTTGCCTTGGGTTTAGGGGAGTCTTTTTAATTTTTTTTTTTTTTTTTTTGAGACAGGCTCTTTCTCTGTTGCCCAGGCTGGAGTGCAGTGGTGCGATCATACTCATTGCAACCTCAAACTTCTGGGCTTTAGTGATCTTTCTACCTTACCCTCCTGGGATGCTGAGAGTACATGCAGGTGCCACTGCTCCAGGCTAATTTTTTTATATCTGCGGAGATAGGGCCTGTTACTCAAGGCTGGTCTTGAATTCCTGGCCTCAAGCAGTCCTCCTGTCTTAGCCTCCCCAAATGCTGGGATTATAGGCATGAACCACCATGCCCACCCGCCCACCCTTGTTTTAATACTTATACTAGATATGATAAAACCATAATATCATTTGCTTGTTTTAAAATTTTATACATGGGCCGGGGGTAGTGGCTCAAGCTTGTAATCCTACCACTCTGGGAGGCTGAGGTGAGTGGATTGCCTGAGCATATGGGTTCGAGACCAGACTGAGGAAGCACAAGACCCGGTCTCTAAAAATAGCTGGACCTTGTGGCCGGCGCCTGAAGCCTCATGCCCTTGGGAGGCTGAGGTAGGAGAATCACTTGAGCCCAAGAGTTTGAGGTTACTGTGAGCTATGGTGTGACAGCACTCTACCGAAGGTGACAAAGCAAGACTGTCTCAAAAAAACAAAAAAAATTTTACACATATAATCTACCATTATATTATTCTCTATTTTTAAAAAATTTGTATTTTTGAGATATATTTATTTTGGTACTTGTGGCTCTGGTTCATTCACTTTTTCACTAGTGTATTGTATCCGTTTGTAAGACTATAGTTTGTATCCCATTGTAACACTATACTAAAAAATTTAATTCTAAATAGCTTAAAACATATAAAGTAGCTTTGGAATGGAGTATAAGTAAGGAATATGTTTATTTCAGAATATATTTTTTTCTTTCTTTAAACACCCTCTAAAGGAAATAGAATCTTTCTTTCTTTCTTTCTTTTTTTTTAGAGACAGAATCTTACTTTATCACCCTCAGTACAGTGCCGTGGCGTTACAGCTCATAGCAACCTCCAGCTCTTGGGCTTAGGCGATTCTCCTGCCTCAGCTTCCGGAGTAGCTGGGACTATAGGTGCCCACCACAATGCCCAGCTATGTTTTTTTGCAGTTTTTTTGCTGAGGCTGGGTTCAAACCCACTACCCTCGGTATATGGGCCTGGCACCCTACTCACTGAGCCACAGGCACCGCCCAAATATTTCTTTATAGTGGGCTTAACAATGTCCATTTTCAGAAATTAAACCTTATTAGTTCACTTCATATGGAAGCATAATCAAAGTCAGCTATTACTGGGGTCCTTGTCCCCATGACTAGGGAGGGTGAAAGTAGTGGGTGACCTTGGTTTCAGGGGCAGGTGATCAGGAGCCAGATGTATT